CCCCGTGTAAACCTGCTGTATAAACTGAACCCTGTGTAAACCTGTCTAAACTGAACCCTTTGTAAACCTGCTGTCTAAACTGAGCCCTGTGTAAACCTGCTGTCTAAACTGAGCCCTGTGTAAACCTGCTGTCTAAACTGAACCCGGTGTAAACCTGTCTAAACTGAGCCCTGCGTAAACCTGCTGTCTAAACTGAACCCTGTGTAAACCTGCTGTCTAAACTGAACCCTGTGTAAACCTGCTGTCTAAACTGAACCCTGTGTAAACCTGCTGTCTAAACTGAACCCTGTGTAAACCTGTCTAAACTGAGCCCTGCGTAAACCTGCTGTCTAAACTGAACCCTGTGTAAACCTGCTGTCTAAACTGAACCCTGTGTAAACCTGCTGTCTATACTGAGCCCTGTGTAAACCTGTCTAAACTGAGCCCTGTGTAAACCTGCTGTCTAAACTGAGCCCTGTGTAAACCTGCTGTCTAAACTGAGCCCTGTGTAAACCTACTGTCTAAAACTGAGCCCTGTGTAAACAAGCTGTCTAAACTGAACCTTATTTAAACCTGTCTAAACTAAATCCTGTGTAAACCTGCTGTCTAAACTGAGCCCTGAGTAAACCTGTCTAAACTGAACCCTGTGTAAACCTGCTGTCTAAACTGAGCCCTGTGTAAACCTGCTGTCTAAACTGGGCCCTGTGTATACCTGCTGTCTAAACTGAGCCCTGTGTAAACCTGTCTAAACTGAGCCCTGTGTAAACCTGCTGTCTAAACTGAACCCTGTGTAAACCTGCTGTCTAAACTGAGCCCTGTGTAAACCTGCTGTCTAAACTGAGCCATGTGTAAACATAAACTGAACCTTATTTAAACCTGTCTAAACTGAACCCTGTGTAAAACTGCTGTCTAAACTGAACCCTTTGTAAACCTGCTGTCTAAACTAAACCCTGTGTAAACCTGCTGTCTAAACTGAACCCTGTGTAAACCTGCTGTTTAAACTGAACCCTGTGTAAACCTGCTGTTTAAACTGAACCCTGTGTAAACCTGCTGTCTAAACTGAACTCTATGTAAACCTGCTGTTTAAACTGAACCCTGTGTAAACCTGCTGTCTATACTGAGCCCTGTGTAAACCTGCTGTCTAAACTGAACCCTGTGTAAACCTGTCTAAACTGAGCCCTGCGTAAACCTGCTGTCTAAACTGAACCCTGTGTAAACCTGCTGTCTAAACTGAACCCTGTGTAAACCTGCTGTCTATACTGAGCCCTGTGTAAACCTGTCTAAACTGAGCCCTGTGTAAACCTGCTGTCTAAACTGAGCCCTGTGTAAACCTGCTGTCTAAACTGAGCCCTGTGTAAACCTACTGTCTAAAACTGAGCCCTGTGTAAACAAGCTGTCTAAACTGAACCTTATTTAAACCTGTCTAAACTAAATCCTGTGTAAACCTGCTGTCTAAACTGAGCCCTGAGTAAACCTGTCTAAACTGAACCCTGTGTATACCTGCTGTCTAAACTGAGCCCTGTGTAAACCTGCTGTCTAAACTGAGCCATGTGTAAACATAAACTGAACCTTATTTAAA